TACCTTGATAGAAGCGCGAACTCTTCTCACTGTAGCGTTCCAGCTGGTCTCTCTTTAAATCTCAGGCCGAATTCGTAGATTTTCAGGATGATTTGAAGGTTATCTAGGTAATTTGGTGGGGACAGGTGATTTGGGGACCCTACTCTTCTGCCATCTTGCCCCCCCTCTCTCATAGAAATTTCATACTATAACTTGCTCAAAATGTTACAGTCAGTAACAACTGAGTCAGATTTAAAATCCAGGCTACAAATCCAGGCTTAACCTTTCTCCGGAGACTGAGCAGTAATTTAAAAATTTTTTAATTCTCTATTATAATTAAATATACATAACATAAAGTTTATCAATTTAAGTGTAAAGTTCTGTGCCACTGAATTTTTTTTATTCACATTATTAACAATATTCACATTGTCATACAACCATCGCTACCATTCATCTCCAGAACTTTCCTCTTTTCCAGTGGAAACTCTGAATCCATCAAACACTAACTCTCCATTCTTATCTTCCTCCAGCCCTTGGCAACAATCATTCTACTTTCTGTTGCTATAAATTTGACTACTCTAGGTATATTATATACGTGGAATCATACAATATTTGTATTCTTCTGACTGGCTTATTTTTATTAGTCTAATGTCTTCAAGGTTCATCCACATTATAGCATGTGTCAGAACTTCCTTTTTAAGGCTGAATAACACACACACACACACACACACCACATTGTGTTCGTCCACTTATCAGCTGGTGAATACTTGGGTTGTTTCCACTTTAACTTTTTTATTTGCAATTTATCTTATTTACAAACTTTAGTACCTACATACATCCATTTATTTATTCATACATTCAACAAATATTTGTAGTTTTTATTGTAAACTCCTTGCTTTTACACAACTTTTATACTGGTGGGAAAAGGAAATGACAGACAAACAAATGTATAAATAATCAAGGAAGTCAGTCACTATGATAATTGATATGCATAGAATTAAGATAGGGTGATGTGATAGACGTGAGCTCGAGACTACTTTAAACAGGGTGCTCAGGGAAGACATATCTGAGATGGTAACACTGAATGTAAAACAAAGGCTAATGTCTAAAGAGTATTCAAGGTAGAGAGACAGCAAGTATACAGGCCTTAAAGAAAAAATAAGGTTGTGTGTTCAAGAAAAAAACAAAAGTCCTGCACTTAGGTCCCAGTAAATGAGAGGAAGAATGGTGAGGAATGAAGTAGACATGGTAGGCAGTACATTTTAAGACAGGATAGAAAGTTCTGATTTTTTGATAGTAGGATGGAGTGGTAGACATTTGGGTGTCCTACCTGTATCTTCTCAGCATTCATATCCAAATACAAAAGATTGCTTACTATGACTGTCTGCCTGAGGACTACATGCAGGGCAGACCAAAAGTTCTGGGGATCAATACCCCTGGAACCATCTTTCTGGCAGGGCATTGGTGTATTAGTGCCACCACCACTGATGAATAAATACAGGGAGTTGGTGGATAAACACCCTATCATATACATTGTTTGGGATAACTGAGGCATGACCTCACTCTCTCTCAGAGTTCCTCAGCAGATTTGAACTTCAGTCATAGCTCATTACTTAATAACACATCCTTTGTGGACGTCTATGTCTCATATCTCCACTACCTTATAGGTGTTTCGTGGAATCATCTCCCCCCCCAAAAAAAAAACTAAAATCATTTAAAAATCACACTAAAATCCTTATCTTATTTTTTTTTATTTTTCAAATGTTTTTTTTTTTAATAAATTAATTTTTATTGGTGTTCAATTTACCAACATACAGAATAACACCCAGTGCTCATCCCGTCAGGTGTACCCCTCAGTGCCCGTCACCCATTCACCCCCACCCCCCGCCCTCCTCCCCCTCCACCACCCCTAGTTCATTTCTCAGAGTTAGAAGTCTTTATGTTCTGTCTCCCTTTCTGATATTTCTCACACATTTCTTCTCCCTTCCCTTATATTCCCTTTCACTATTATTCATATTCCCCAAATGAATGAGAACATACACTGTCCTTCTCCGGTTACTGTGGCCAAGTTCAAAAAGGGTGTTGCCTGAGTTCTCCTCTGGGATTTTGATGGAATCTTGTCTCACATTTAGATCTTTCATCTATTTTGAGTTTATCTTTGTGTGTGGTGCAAGAGAGTGGTCCAGTTTCATTCTTCTGCATGTGGATGTCCAATTTTCCCAGCACCATTTATTGAAGAGACTGTCTTTCTTCTAGTGGATTGTCTTTCCTCCTTTATCGTATATTAGTTGAGCATAAAGTTCAGGGTCCACTTCTGGGTTCTCTGTTCTGTTCCATTGATCTATATGTCTGTTTTTGTGCCAGTACCACACTGTCTTGATGAACACAGCTTTGTAGTACAACCTGAAATCTGGCATTGTGATGCCCCCAGATATGGTTTTCTTTTTTTAAAATTCCCCTGGCTGTTTGGGGTCTTTTCTGATTCCACACAAATCTTAAAATAATTTGTTCTAAGTCTCTGAAGAAAGTCCATGGTATTTTGATAGGGATTGCATTATACGTGTAAATTGCCCTGGGTAACATTGACATTTTCACAATATTAATTCTGCCAATCCATGAGCATGGAATATTTTTCCATCTCTTTGTGTCTTCCTCAATTTATTTCAGAAGTGTTCTGTAGTTTTTAGGGTATATTTTGAGAACCATTTGAATGGTAAATGGTTCTCCAACCTTTTATTTTCAGGTTGTAGGTGTCCTTCTGTCTAAAATGAGTCTCTTGTAGACAGCAAATAGATGGGTCCTGTTTTTTTATCCAGTCTGAAACTCTGCGCCTTTTGATGGGGTCATTAAGCCCATTCACGTTCAGAGTAACTTGAACTTCTTCTTAAAGGGGAGTTTTAAGAGTCCCCCTTAAAATTTCTTGCAGAGCTGGTTTGGAGGTCACATATTCTTTCAGTTCCTGCCTGTCTTGGAAGCTCTTTATCTCTCCTTCCATTTTGAATGAGAGCCTTGCTGGATAAAGTATTCTTGGTTGCATGTTCTTCTCATTTAGGACCCTGAATATATCCTGCCAGCCCTTTCTGGCCTGCCAGGTCTCTGTGGAGAGGTCTGCTGTTACCCTAATATTCCTCCCCATGAAAGTCTGGGACTTCTTGTCTCTTGCTGCTTTAAGGATCTTCTCTTTATCTTTGGAATTTGCAAGCTTCACTATTAGATGTCGAGGTGTTGAACGGTTTTTATTGATTTTAGGGGGGGATCTCTCTATTTCCTGGATCTGAATGCCTGTTTCCCTTCCCAGATTGGGAAAGTTTTCAGCTAGGATTTGTTCAAATACATATTCTGGCCCTCTGTCCCTTTCGGCGCCCTCGGGAACCCCAATTAAACGTAGGTTTTTCTTCCTTAGGCTGTCATTTATTTGCCTTAATCTGTCTTCATGGTCCCTTAATTGATTGTCTCTTTTTTCCTCAGTTTCCCTCTTTGCCATTAACTTGTCTTCTATGTCACTCACTCGTTCTTCCACCTCGTTAACCCTCATCGTTAGGACTTCTAGTTTGGATTGCATCTCATTCAATTGATTTTTAATTTCTGCCTGATTGGATCTAAATTCTGCAGTCATGAAGTCTCGTGAGGCCTTAATGCTTTTTTCTAGAGCCACCAGTAGCTGTATAATGGTGCTTCTGAATTGGCTTTCTGACATTGAAGTGTAATCCAGATTTTGTAACTCTGTGGGAGAGAGGGCTGTTTCTGATTGTTTCTTTTGAGGTGAGGTTTTCCTTCTAGTCATTTTGCTCAGTGCAGAGTGGCCAAAAACAAGTTGTATTGGAACACGGGGGAGTATCACTGGTCCGTCCAGCTGGTCTTCTGGGGGAGGGGCCTGCTGTGCTGATTTTCAGGTGTTAGCACTTGGGGGAGCTGCTCTGCCCCTGCCTGCTGGGCTCAGCGGGGGTTGTTTACCCCGCCAGGCCCCAGGAGGAACAGCAGCAGTTGCTATGGCAACTCTGGAAGCCTGGATTCAGCCTCCGCAGGAACTACGGGGCTCGGGGCTCTCTGCTCTCCGTCCGCAGGGCCTGGAGGCTCCGGGGCGGGGCCGCTGATCTGCTCAGCTCGGGGCAGGAGCGTCCTCGCTGTCCCGGGGGAGGCCGGATCCTGGGCTGTGTCCCGGCGCCCTGTGCTCCGGGGCCTGCGCTGTGGGATTCGCGCTCCCGCCCTGCAGCTCCCTCCCTGGAGCCGCTCCCGAGCCCTCCGAGCCCTCCGAGCCCTCCGAGCTGCTCCGGTCGGTCCCGCCGTGCGCGCTGCAGCCCTTAGGGAGCTCGGGGCACTCTCCTGCGCTCGCAGGTGTCTGTTATTGTCCCAGGGAGCCCGAGGGCATCCCCGCCCTCCTGGGTCCTGCTCCAACTCCCTGCGAGCCCCTTTCCGCCCGCCCGGGAAGGTTGGTGCAGCTCCTGCTCCTCCGGGACGGGGCTCTCCTGTCCTGGGGACACTCGCCCCGGCCTCAGCCCGGCTCCTCGTGGGGCCCCTCCCCCTCGGAGGCCTTTTGTTCCTTTATTTCTTTTTCCCCCCGTCTTCCTACCTTGATAGAAGCGCGGACTCTTCTCACTGCAGCGTTCCAGCTGGTCTCTCTTTACATATCAGGCCGAATTCGTAGATTTTCAGGATGGTTTGAAGGTTATCTAGGTAATTTGGTGGGGACAGGTGATTTGGGGACCCTGCTCTTCCGCCATCTTGCCCCTCCCCTTTCCTAAAATCCTTATCTTATAATCTGTTTCTGAAAGAACTCAAACCAAAACAGGAAGCCATTGCAAAATCCAATTTAAATTTTTAAAGAATCACTCAGGAACTTCTGGCTTCCAGTAAGGACGGAGTAGTTTATATTGGACTATCCTTCTTATCAATAATTAGGAGCTCTGGACACAACACAAATAACAACAGTTCAGAGGCACAAGAGAGCAACCAAACCAAAGCCAGCAGAAACTGGAGGGGACAGACTCTAAAAGATAGAAACTGAAATGGATGAAATCTACTTTTTTTTCCTTTAGAATTATTTTATTAAATCATAAATGTACAACAGCTTCTTAACTCTACACACGCACTTAAATTTTTTTAGAGGAAAAACGTTATGTCTTATTACACCATGATCCTGGCTAATAGCTTTTCAAAACTTTGAGAAAAATCTTAAAAAAGGTTTCACATGTCACCTGAAACTGACAAATTTAACATTATCAAAGAAGGAATGCTTCTACACTCTTACAAAGACCACTAGAAAGAAACAGCAATTAAAAAGCTAAGAAACTGTCTCAAAGGCATTTTTTTTTTACAATCCTTCCTCCACAGTAAGGTAATGTTATTAAATAATCCAATCCATTCACAAAATGGCTCTCTGCATCTGCTCTGGTGTCTTCTGCCATATCACTGCATATTTATGCATGACTGAGATAAGAGTTTCCTTAACATTGTTATTTCGATAACCTGAAGCTGTTCTGTTACCTCTGGGCTCTCATCCTCTCCTATTTATACAGTGAAGCCCATGGCAAGTAGGAAGAAGCTCAATATCGGCTTCTCCCTCCATAACCCCCACTTCCTCCACTGCCTCCAGGACCATAGTTTCCTCCACCATATGGTCCCCCCATGTTTCTGCTACCACCAAAGTTTCCACTCTTCATTGGACCATAGTTAGAGGGTTGCTGGTTATAATTTCCAAAATCATTGTAATTTCCACTTCCATAAATTCCTCCTCCATAGTTGTCATAACCACCTCTGTAGCCCCCACCCTGGTTGCCATATCCAGGTCCTCCACCACCATATCCTCCTCTTCCTCCTCCATAAGCAGGGCTACCTCCAAAATTGCCACCTCCAGGTCCTCCTCCATACCCATTATAGCCATCCCCAAATCCACGGCCACTTCCATATCCATCAGATCCTCCTCTAAAGTTACTTCCTGGTCCTGGTCCAAAATTTCCACCACCACCACGAGAATCTCCAAAACCAAAGTTGCCTCCTCTTCCACTTCTAGAACTTTTGACTTCCTGCATTTCTTGTCTAGACAAAGCCTTTCTTACTTCTGCGTTATGACCATTGATGGTATGATATTTCTGCAACACAATCTTATCCACAGGATCATGATCATCAAAGGTAACAAAACCAAAGCCTCTTTTCTTTCCAGACTGCCTATCAGTAATTATCTCAATGGTATCAATCTTACCATATTCCTCGAAATAATCTCTAAGATGGTGTTCCTCAGTATCTTCTTCAATTCCACCAACAAAGAGCTTCTTCACAGTTACATGAGCCCGTGGTTTTCCAGATTCCTCTCTTGCAACAGCACGTTTTGGCTCAACCACTCTCCCATCAATTGAATGAGGTCTTGCAGCCATAGCAGCATCAGCCTCAGCCATGGAGGAAAAGGTCACAAAACCAAATCCTCTTGGTCTTTTGCTTGCAGGCTCTCTCATAACCACACAGTCTGTAAGTTTTCCCCATTGTTCGTAGTAGTTCCTCAAACTTTCTTCTGTGGTTTCAAAGCTCAAGCCACCAATGAAGAGTTTCCGGAACTGTTCCTTTTCTCTCTGCATCGCGGACTCAGTCGCTTCAGCCCGATTTCCCGCAGCCGAGCGCGATGAGAGAGATCTCCGCGGACGAACACGAACCGGACTCGTCCTGGCGCTGTAGTGAGAACTGCCGCTGCTCGAGAAACAGCACCGCTAAGAGCACCTCCACGCGGGACCCGGCGCTGCTGCTACTCGAAATCTACTTTTATATAGATTTTTACCTGAGGGCACTCCTTAGTCTGCGTGGTGCAGAACAGATAGAGCTCAAGCAGAAAGTATCAGTTCCGTCAGGCTAACGAGTCAGAGTTTGGAATTCAGGGCTGTCACAGCAGCTGCAAAATGAAGGAAAACATGAGTCCAAAGCAGAGGCCTTAAATTTTCCATATAAATTATCCTCAAATCTTTGACCAACCCTCGAGCTATGCATGCATGGGAAAGTCTACAGGAGCCCAGCGGAAAGTAACAACTGGAAGACTGAAAAAGTTAAGTAGCTATCCAGTAGGGGTTCCAGAGTTGAGAGTTCAAGTCCCAGCAAGTTACAGGGAGTTGGTAAATACCTTGAGCCTTCCATTGAAACCCAAAAGGGCCACACCTTAGGGTAAGGTTCACATCTCAATACTAAAGGTTATACTCTAATACTAAAGGTTATGCTCTAAAACTCAGGGCAAAATCCAAATAAATCCACTTAACAAAGCATAAACCAAGCTCTCACAGGATCAAGATGTTCTGCTTACTAGAACCAAATTCAATACTTTTTATAAGACAAAGATAGAACAAGAATCTCTGTGATGCATTTTGTAGTTTTTGATTTTATCAAACAAAAATTACTAGATATGTGAAAAAAGGAAAATGTGATTAAGACATGGAAAGAAAAGCAGTCAATAGAAACAAATCCAGAGATGACTAAATGTTGGAATTAGCAGACAACAATCTAAAAATAACTCTGACAAATATGAATAGATAATAAAAATAAATAAAACTAACAGATAAAATGGAATTTATTGGAAAAGATGAATATAATGGGTGAAGAAATGAAGAATTTCAGGAAAGCTATGCCAACTCTAAAAAAAAAATCAAAAGGAATTCCTAGAACTGAAAATACAATACTTGAAATAAAAAATTCATTGAGCATTAAAAGCAAATTTGGCAACATAGGAAAAAGGATTTATGAACTTGATGACAGATTACTAGAAATTACACAAACTGAGTAACAGAGAAAAAGATTGGGGGAAAAAATAGAGCCTTAATAACCCCTAGGAAAGTATCAACTGGCCTAATGTGTAACTGAAATCCCAAAAAGTGAGAAAAGAGAACTAGGTAGAAAAAATATTTGAAGAAATGCTGGCCAAAATTTTTCCTTATTTGATCAAGTCACAGATCTAAGACACTAAGGAAACCCCAGACAGAATAAAGTCAAGGAAAGCCACACTTGGGCATATCAAAGTAAAACTGCTGAAAACCAGAGATAATGATCATATCTGAAAAGCAGTCAGAGGAAAAAATGTAATACATATAAGGGAACATCCATAAGCAGATTGCTCATAGGAAATAGTGGATTTCAGAAAACAGTGAGATATGATTTTGAAATGTTGGAGAGGAAAAAAACACCTGTCAATCTAAAAATCTATATGTAGAGAAACTACTCCTTAAAAATTATGGTAACATCAAGACATTTTTAGATAAAGGAAAGCTGAGAGAACTCATCACCAGCAGTGCTACACTATTAGAAATGCTAAAGGCATTCTTTGAGGTGAGAAATGATACAAAATGTAAATATGGATCTATCTGACAGAATGAAAAACACTGGAAATGGTAAATATATGGGTAAAGAGAAAAGACTATTTTTCTTCCTTTTCTTAAGTACCCTAAAAGATAATCAACTATGTAAAGCAAAAATAAGAGTAATTAATTGTATAGCTTAGGGATCCCTGGGTGGCTCAGCGGTTTTGCACCTGCCTTTGGCCCAGGGCGATCCTGGAGTCCCTGGATCGAGTCCCACGTCAGGCTCCTGGCATGGAGCCTGCTTCTCCCTCTGCCTCTCTCTCTCTCTCTCTTCTCTCTCTCTCTATCATGAATAAATAAAATCTTTTTAAAAATTGTATAGTTTACAATTTATGTTTTAAAAAAAGTAGAAAATAATTGCATGAGGATAGGTAAAGGTAAATGAAATCAAGTTGTGTTTCAAGTTCTTAGATGTAAAGCAGTAGAATATTAACTTAAGGAAGACTGTGGTTAAGATAAAGATGCATATTATAGTCCCTAGAACAACCAATAAAAGAACACAACAAAAAGATGTAGCTAAAAATTCAATGTAAGAAACAGAATGGTATACTAAAATAAATTTTAGTTAACCCAAAAGAAGGCAGAAAATTAGAAACCAAGAAACAAAAAACAGAAGGGATAAATAGAAAACAAAGAGCAAGATAATAGATTTTAACACAATCATATCAATAATTACATCAACTATGAATGGGATAAACAATCCAATTAAAAGTCAGAGACTGTCAGACTCAACTTTGTGCTATTTACAAGAGACACAAAATATAAAGGCACAGACAGGTTGAAAGAAGAAGGATGGAAAAAGATACAAGAACTAACCATGTTAACATCGGATAAAGTATACTTACTCAACCTGTTTCTGCTTTGAATAGCACCTTTGGTATTCTACAATGGCATACATTTTCTTGTTTTCAGGTTTAATTTTTGATTAGAGATAAAGCAATGCTTTAATTTATACTAAAAGTATTGTGTTTCCTCCTGTTAAGAAACAAAGAGGCCCTTCATTTTGTACAGCCGCACCCACAGCCTTCAGTTCCCCATTAGCACCTGCTCCCCGAGTGTTGGTCAAGTGAATTTGTCATTTATATCTCAGTTCATCCCTCCCATTCCCATTACTATCCTCTCCTTTGTCCCAGGGTGTACATCACCTTTGCTTCCCTTACTCTAGACTCTCTTCCATGTATACATACTAATGACTAACATCATGCATAATGAGAATAGCCCTGTCATCATCTCCTCCTTTTTATGGCTGTTTATTCAGAAGTCTCTGAATTAATCAAGAATTTATGAGATTCACATAACATAAAACTATCTTAAAGTGTACAATTTAGCAACATTTAGTATGCAAATTGTACATACCTTCCAAAACATCCAAAACTTTTTAAGTTTACTTATTTAAGTAAACCCAATATGGGCCTCCATCTCATGACCCAAGATCAAGAGTTGCACATCCTTCTGACTGAGCCAACCAGGTGCACCTCTATTTCCAAAGGTTTTTCATCACCCCAAAGAAAAACTCCATATCCATTATGCAATTACTCTCAATTCCTCCTCCCTCTAGTCCCTGGGAAGCCACCACTCTGCTTTCTGCCTCTCAGGATTCACCTATACTGAATATTTTCATATAAATGGAATCATATACGCTGTGACCTATTGTATCTGCCATAACCCTGCTTGTTAAGATTATCTGTAGCCTGGGTGGCTCAGTCAGTTAAGTATCTATCTCTTGGTTTTAGCTAGGGTCATAAGCCCCATATCAGGCTCAGAGCTCAGCAGAGTCTATTCATCCCTCTCCCTCACCTCTGCTCCGCTCCTCCCCCTGCTTGCATGTGTACGCACTCACATATTCTCTCTTTCTCAAATAAATAAAATATTTTTAAAAAGATTGTCTGTATGGGGCATAAGCAACTAATTACAGAGCATATCCAAAATAACTGTCCCAATAGGGAGAACTTTGACTTTACTTCTTTCAATCTGTAGCCATACCTCTTCTATGGAACCTGTGGATGGAGGTCTAAAGTAACCAGAATGTGTGGGAGCCAGGACCATGCTGAATGAATTAATGAAAATGCTGAGTGTACTAGTCATGTTTTTTTTCTAGTATCAGTGATGTAGTTAGCTCTTCCAGTTCCCCTCTGGTAAAGTGAAGAGATCTTTGTTGGTACTTTTAGCCACATGTTGATTGAGTGGAGGAGGAGGAAAGATGTGAGGGTCATGGGGGAAGAGGAAACCAGGTAACACAATTTGGAGCTACTGATATCAAGCAGTTCTTTCTCAGATCTCATCAAGAATACTGAATATAATAGGGATGACTGGGTGGCTCAGTGGTTGAGTGTCTGCCTTTGGCTTGAGGCATGATCCTGGGGTCCTGGGATAGAGTCCCACATCTAATTCCCTGCAGGGAGCCTGCTTCTCCCTCTGCCTATGTTTCTATCTCTGTGTGTCTCTCATGGATAAATAATTTTTTTAAAGAACACAATGTAATAAAACCAAGAGGGTTGTGATTTAATTAGTGACAGAACAATTATTGAGAAGAAAGGCAATGATCAGCACAGACTCTATAAAAACAGAGAAAGATTTTGCAAATATGGTGCCAGGACTTCCTTAGAGCAGAAGGTGATTTTATTTCAAGTGTCCCAGACTAGTTAAAAGAGAAATAGGAAAATGGCAATTCTATGGGTAACATACTGTTTATCATATGTCATTCTTTCTTTAGGACTGTCCCTTATCCACTTTAGAGATATTTTGTCATGATTGCAATTATCCTTCCTTATATTGTATCACTGAGCAAACAAATAACATGGAATTTGGTCTTTGGAATGCACCTACCCACAAAAAGAGAAAAGATCTCCATGTTATTTGGAGCACCTCTAATTTTCCCTGGCATTCCAAATGGCTAAAAAGCAATGAAGCAAACACACACCAATTTTTCAAAACTCTGAAGTCATACAAACACAAAATTTTAGAGTGAGGTCATACAAACAGAATTTTAGAGTTGGGAGAAAATTGAGCTCCTCTCAGCCAACATTTTTCAAATTTAGGTCCAACCAGACCACCTGCTTTGGAATGAAAGGCTGCTTGTCAGGAAGGCAGAGAACCTGGGCTGCATTCCAGACTTACTGAATAAACTCTTTAGGGATTAAATACTGGAATCTGCAATTTTATACACTCACTCACACTGAAGTGTGAGAACCACAAAACTCCTCACTCATACTTTGTTACTAATCAGAAAACCATGTTCTCCCATAACGTGCTGATGATCACAATTGATATTTTGAAAGATCTTCCCTTCTAAATATATCCATTCTATGATATTTTATAAAACCAGGTGTTCTTTATAGATTATCTGCCATGCACTAGGCAACAGGAGGAGTCCCTTGCTTACATTATATTTAAGAATTCTGCAAGATAATAGTTTCAAATCTGAGCTTCAGTGCTCATGCCTGAAAGTTGGGATAATAGTTTCTATCTCCTATACTAAAGTAAAATATATGTAACATGCTTGGCACAAAACCTGACCTAAAGTATGTGCACAATAAAGGTTAGCTGTTTCTACTATTTTTGTTCACATTTTACACGTGGGGAAACTGAAACACATTCAGACACTTTGCTAGGAAGTGGTGGAGACAATTCAACTCTTAATGTACTTAATTTCAAAACCTAACTTTTCCCACTACCCTATACTATTTTTCATTATGTGCATGATCAATGAAGCTTCTTCCGTGACTTTTCCCATCAAAAATAACTTTTTCTTCAGCCCTTTGCCCAGCACTAGGCTTTTGATGAATACTTGTTTTTTTGGTTCTCTCAACCTCAATGAGACCTGGGCAGCTGCACAGCAGAAGGTGAGTGAGTAATTCCTGTAAATGTTTAAAGATCTGTCCCTCAGTTTCTTGATACCCCAGAGAAATTCAGTAATGTGTCTGGAAATGCAGAAGTTGAAGCACTCCAAAACCCACACTTTACCCACAAGGATCCCTTTTTTGGGCTTTTTCAAAAACAAGAAAGTATCATATTGAACAATCTACCTGGTGTCCAAAAATAGTGGCCTGGGGAGTCATTATCTGAGCATCTT